CTCAGATTCCCGGATATGAGAGCACAGGTGCCTGACCCTCAGATTACCGGATATGAGATCACAGGAACCTGACCCTCAGATTCCAGGATATGAGAGCACAGGAACTTGACCCTCAGATTCCTGGATTTGAGACCACAGGTGCCTGACCCTCAGATTCTAGGATTTGAGATCACAGGAACCTGACCCTCAGATTCCTGGGTTCACGTCTGGATCTTCTCTTTCCTTGATACAGGACCTTAGGCAAAATACCTAAAGTTTTGGATATTCAGTTCTTCCTATTTATAATTTTTAAAATTTTTTAAATTATATGTTTGATCGTTATGTTCTAGGCTCACTGCCTATCTCCAGAAGACAGTAAAATAGGTTTAATCTGTAGGAGGATCAGCAAATGTGTTTAATGCTAATTAGCAACTGCGTTTAGTTGTAACCTCAGGCATGCTGTCTATAATAAAGTAAGATTATTAGAATGAGCCTGGAGTTGAAATTAATCAAAACAAAAGTGGTGTCTCCGGGATGGGCCAGTGCCACTGAAACACCCCATGGCACAGTGTTACCGAGGACACGTGTGGCCCGGGCTGGCCATGCTCACCTGCCCTGCTGTGTTCCCCGTGTGCCACAGTGCGTTCCTCAGGTGCTCGCCGGTCCCCGTGGTGGAATTCACCACCTTGAGGGACACACCGGAGTAGCCGTAGGCCCGTGTGGGCTGGTCCTCCCAGTAGGTCTGTGTGACCTGTTTCCACATCACCACGTAGAAGCGGCTGCTCGACTGGTAGCCAAAGACGAAGCCAGCATAGTCGTCGTCCCGGTCAGTGTTTACGTAGAAGGTGCCACTGAAGTCCACGGACCCGAACTCGTCAAAGCCTGGGTGCAACACCATAATGTTTCATTAGAAACACCTTTCAGGTGACCAGGCACAGTGGCTCATGCCTGTAACCCCAGCACTTTGGGAGGCAGAGGTGGGTGGATCACCTGAGGTCAAGAGTTTGAGACCAGGCTGACCAACATGGAGAAACCTCGTCTCTACTAAAAATACAAACATTAGCCGGGCATGGTGGTGGGTGTCTGTAATCCCAGCTAGCCAGGAGGCTGAGTCGGGAGAATCACTTGAATCCAGGAGCGGAGGTTGCAGTGAGCCAAGATTGTGCCACTGTACTCCAGCCTGGGGGGCAGTGAGACTCCTTCTCAAAAAAAAAAAAAGGAAACACATTTCAGGCAATCTCCAGCTTGACCATCTGACAGTGGATGCCCAGTGGGCAGGGTGGGCTCTCCTCTTCACCCCACTGGACTCTTTTTACCAGGAGATTAGTGTAATTGAAGAGACTTTTTTTAGATTCAACTTAAAGAGTTCTGAGAGAGTTATGAGGTCCCATTTCATAGACCAAGTCTGTAAGATAAAATGGTTTACTGAAATTTCAGAGACTTCAGAGAGGCAGGTGCATGCGCCTGTCAAGATTATTTAGACAGTTTCACAGACCAAGGATGGGGGCTTCAGAAAGACCACACCGCATCATCCCACCTGCAGGATCTGAAAGCGCAGTCTGCCTCCTCTGCGGGCGCCTCCCCACGGCAATGCCGGGGTCCGAGTTGGCTGTCTGAACCAGCTCCTTGCCTTGATGGCGAATGACCCAGTTGGGATCAATCTGGGTGGTCCCTTTGGGATCCAGGGGCACCATCTGGAAGTTCCTGAAGTCCGTCTCACTGATGGCGTTGTTTTCAGGGCACACATCGTCAATATCTGGGACGTTGTCATTGTCAAAATCATCTTTACAAATATCACCCCGGCCATCACCTATTCACAAAGAACAAACAAAAAGAAAAAAAAAAAAAGAAGCAAAGTCGGTGGTTTGCCATTTGCTTTTCTGTGTCTGAGAAACGTGAGTGCATCGTCCTCTGAGCATCTGAGCCTGAGTGCTCTGCAGTGCTTTGTGGATTCGTGCTCTGCAGTCTCCAGAACGTTTGACTTCGCTGCCGCGAAGAGCCTCAAAGCTTTTCACGTTTTCCTGGTAAATATGCAGCAAAGGCTAGCACAGCAAATTCACAGACAGCCATTTCTCACCATGTTCCAAACCCAGTGCTGAGGGGATAAACCGGAATGGCTGTCAAGCAAGGTCAACCTGCATTCTCAGCTGTGTTTGTGAATAGTTTTCTGAATGTTTGTTATGACTTTCCTTAATCATCTTTGCCTCTTACAGTCTATTTGGCTTTAAAGCGGGACTCACACTAAAATGGCCTCTCCTGGGAAGACACAGACGTCGCTGTCTAGGGGTCCTTGTGGTCAGGTTTTCAGTGGGGTTGTGGCATGGTGGGGAGTGGGGGTGAGGTGGGCCTGGTGCAGATGGGGGGACCACGAATTTGCCACACGTGTCCAGTCTATCAGTCTACGGCTACGATGATAACCTGACAGGCAGATTGCAATGTACTGAATTAGCTATCACATGGCCTATTGTTTTAGAAGGAGACAAGGCAACTGGATTGAATATCTCATCATATTCTTCCACTAGTTTTCTGCTCAAGGGCATACTCCACCTGTTGTGTGGCAGGCACGAAGCTGGTATCAGGGCATTCTGAAATGGTAAAATGCTGTTCTCCCTGTCGGCTTCTACCCGTCCCAGCCACCCTCGGGGGAATGCTGCCTGGGAAACAAGTTCCCGCCCGCCCGAGCGTGGAGTCCAGCTGAGGCTTCCTGTGCTGGCTCCATCCCTTCATGCCGCTCAGGGAGGGCCCAGGAGCTGCCCTTCTGATCCCAGCATCTCCCACATGCTTCTGAGTCATGCTGGCTCAGACACCCCTCGTGTCCTTATCTCCGTCTGTCCAGGATGTGCTTTACAAAGGCAGCCTGCATCAGCCTGGCCCCATCCGAGGGCCACTTTCTCACAGCCTCCCCGGAAGCCCTGGAGCACAGCTGTGCCCTTGTTTATTACTCAGGGATGCTGGCTTAGAGGACTGCAGCCCATCCAGCGCCTTCCTCGGCGCCGGTGGCTACCGGCCACCTATCCATGCTCCCCACTGAGCAAAGCAGCTCTTCTGCTTCACACTCCTGCCACTGTTGTTTGCTTTGCCCTTAAAAACGTCCTCCATGTCCCCTGCCTGGCCCCATACACCAAACCCCTGACTCAGCCTACGTTTGTAACAGCATTCCTTCTAGGAGATCACATCCTGGAAGTAACACGGAGGCAGGGATTTCTCCTCCGCCGTCTGACGCGCACATGCGCTTGAGGCAGCACAACTGCTGAAGGGCAGGCACACAGCTGAGAACGTGCAGAGCCGTCAGGGCAGAGGAACTCATACTGCATGGCCCCACGGGCAGCTTAATTTGCCCAAAGCGACCGCATTTTTCCAGCAGGAGACTTGAGACCATCTCCACACACACATATCTTGCCCTGGCCGGCTGCTCGGAAGCCGTTTTCCTCCACGCCCAGAGTGGAGGCAGCACCCACCGTCCAGGTCCTCCTGGTCCGGGTTGGGCACCAGCCGGCAGTTGTCCCTGTCGTCGGGGATGCCATCGTTGTCATCATCGGGGTCACAGGCATCGCCCTGGCCGTCGCTGTCGTGGTCGGCCTGGTTGGCGTTGGAGATGTAGGGGCAGTTGTCCTGGTTGTTCTGGTGGCCGTCCTCATCTATGTCCTCATTGTTGTCACACTGGTCCCCGACGAGGTCATTGTCCATGTCGGTCTGGGGGAGAGGGCGTGAGGGAGACAGCAGAGGAGCGCCGATTGGAGGAGGCGGAGAGGAGCCGGCAGGACGTGAGCCCGAGAGCCGTCTCCTCGTCCTGCGGCAGCGCTGGCCCGAGGTCACACCGACCCCGACATCAGGACCGGCACTGGGCCCAGGACCCTTGGTCCAGGAACCTCTCCACCCTCGGCCACCTCTCCACAGGGATTCACTTTACTAAAGGAAGATGCCTGAGCTTCTCCACTGGAAAAGCATGAAGTACTGGGTAATTAAGTCTCTTTCCTACACCATTTGCTATAATATATCCTATGTTGGCATCAGGAAAATGAGGAGAGAATTCTGTCAGGCACAGCCTCGCTCCAGCTGATGAGATGAAGGCGTCTATTCATGTGGCCTGTGGCCACTGAGATCAATTGATTTCAACTGAAATCACTGAAAATGCCATGGTGTCCTGCCTTGGCGGAGCGCACGCAAAAGGGCCAAGGCCCCATGCAGGGGGCTGATGAGGACGCCCCACCCCACTGCCTGCAGCTGCCCTCACCTGGTGGGGGTTGTGTACCATGGGCAGTTGTCACAGTGATCCCCACACTGTCATTGTGCATGTCCCTCTGATGAGGACCCCCATCCCCACCCCCCTGCCCGCTGCTGCCCTCACCTGGTGGGGGTTGTGTACCATGGGCAGTTGTCACAGTGATCCCCACACTGTCGCTCTGCATGTCCCTCTGATGAGGACCCCCATCCCCACCCCCCTGCCCGCGGCTGCCCTCACCTGGTCGGGGTTGTGCACCAGGGGGCAGTTGTCACAGTGATCCCCCACACCGTCACCGTCTGTGTCCCTCTGGTCAGTGTTGTAGACGTAGGGACAATTGTCTCGTTCATTGAAGACATCTGTTGGTGTTGAAAAGGAAAAAAAAAAAAACAGAAGGAAGAACAGGTGAGCTTAGAAAAAGCACACGACTTTTCCTATCACATTAAATTGCTTACAGTCACACTTTTATTTAATGATAATAAAAAGCCTAAGAATATAGCAAAATATAAAGACTACTAGATTCTGGAAGAACATATGACGAGTCTGCACTTGAGCCTGGCCCGAGCTCCTGCTGCTCCAGGCGCCCGAGAGAAGGAACAGGCATGTGGTGACGGTGGCACTGGGCTGCAGGGCTCGTCCGGGTAAAGCATCCACTGGGAGCAGTGGCAGAGGCAACCACGATATACCCACGTTATTCTAACTGAGCCCTGCGGGAGGAGTTTCCAATACACAGTTAGAAATAAGGGCGCAGAGGCGGCTATCCCAGGACCAGGACACAGGACAGACCCATGGCTCCTGGAAGCTCCGTTTGATGAACACACGTTGTGGCTTCTTGGAACTTTTGGATGAAGAGTGAACATAAGAGAAGACACTGTGAAGAAGCACAAGGCCCAGGACTGCAAGGCTGGGGGCGGAGAGAGGAGGGCGCCAAGTTCACAGCTTTCCACAGAGCGGGCCTGTGGCCGGGGACCCCTGACCCAAGGGAAAAGGCAAGGCAGAATAAGCATGGGCCTCTATGGGAATAACTGAATGAGTCATTTCATCTTACAGTAGTGTAAAGATGAAAGGAGCTTATCTAAATTCAGAAGAAAACATGAAGCTTGCAAATGCCTCCAATGGTGACCCTTTAAATGCATGCATCGGGCTGGGTGGCTCACACCTATAATACCATCACTTTAGAGGCCAAGGCAGGTGGATCAAGACCAGCCTGATCAACATGGTGAAACCACATCTCTACTAAAAATACAAAAGTAGCTGGGTGTGGTGGCGCGCACTTGTAATCCCAGCTATGGAGGCCGAGGCAGGAGAACCACTTGAACCTGGGAAGTGGAGGTGACACCATTGCACTCCAGCCTGGGCAACAGAGCAACACTCCATCGCAAAAAAAAAAAAAGGAGCCCGTGTGGAAGGGGCAGATGCACTCACCATCCCCGTCGATGTCCACGGAGCAGGCGTCGCCCTCCCCGTTGCTGTCAGTATCAATCTGGGCGGGGTTGTGCACATATGGGCAGTTGTCACAACGGTCCCCAACCTCATCCTTGTCGTAGTCAGCCTGGCGGGGGTTGAAGAGCAGCTGGCAGTTGTCCTGGGAAACCAAGAAAGGAAAGACTTTAGCAAGGATCATAGGAATGTGTGTCGGGCCCTTTAGCGCTTACAAGTTATGTACTCAGAGTTCATCAAAATCAATATGGAAATCAAAGAAGACAGTTAGGGCTGGGCCCGGTGGCTCACACCTGTAATCCCAGCACTTTGGGATGGGCAGATCACCTGAGATCAGGAGTTTGAGACCAGCCTGGCCAACATGGTGAAACCCTGTCTCTACTAAAACTACAAAAATTAGCCGGGCGTGGTGGTGCTTGCCTGTAATCCCAGTTACTCAGGAGACTGAGGCAGGAGAGTCACTTGAACCCAGAAGGTGGAGATTGCAGTGAGCCAAGATCGTGCCACTGCACTCCAGCCTGGGGGACAAGACTGAAACTCCGTCTAAAGAAAAAAAATGCCAGTTAGCCCTCGCCAAATACTTTTTCAATATCAAATCATTTTATCATTATTTATGCATCTGTCTTTTGCTGAAAATTTGGAGACTGCTAAGGCAAAAATGGTATACCAGACACTTCATGGTGAGGAGAGATATGTAAATATCAGACACATGGATGGATTAGTGAGTCAGTACCTCCATCAAAGTCAGATGTAAGAAGGCAGTAAGTAAAATTCATCCATTCGTGCTACAGCTGTTTTGTGTACAAACATGTGAAACCATTTGTGTTTGTGGCAGTTTTCTCAGAACAATGGTAATGTTTTAAATGTTGCCATAAAGGTAAGTCTATCACCCATGGTGGTGCCAGCCTTGCCCATCACTGGCTCCTCGGCAGAAGGAGGGGAGGTCTTCTATTTTTGTGCAGTGAAAGTAGATAAAATTATTCAAAACATTCCTGGCAGCACACTCTAGCTAGCCCCACGCCCTGAGGAAATCTGCTTTTGAAACGACTGACTTTATGGTGGCCGTCGGGAGCTGCTTACGCACAAACGCTTGCAAGACAGTTGCCCAGACCCTTGGGTAGAAAGCGGCCTCTGCAGACCGCGCTGCTCACGGACCCCGCTGCTCCTGGAACCCGGGCAGGTGCGCGGCACGAGCCGCTCCTACCTTCTCGTCGGTCACACCGTCATTGTCATCGTCGTCGTCACAGGCATCGCCAATCCCGTCCTTGTCGAAGTCTTCTTGCCCAGAATTAGGCAGATGGGGGCAGTTATCCTGCAATTGGGGAAGGAAGAATGCTTGGAAAAATCTTTTGGAAAGCGTCTCTTTCAGGAACGCAGGTGACATGAGGTAAGCACGGCGCTGAGGAGGAAGCATGCCCCGTCTGCCCCGGGTCGGATTGCACGCTCCCGGGAGAGCAAGGAGGAGGCCAGGAGGCCAGAGGCGAGGCATTTCTTCTCAACTCCTGCCCTGGAAATTATGTCACCACCACTCGTGAGGGAGACAGAAGCAACTTGTGTTCGGAGCCCAGAATCCCAGTGAGGTTTTGCCAGATAGCTGCAGACACAAGAGTATGACAAGGTTTTGCTCCGAGAGAACGTGGGAGAGAAAAGAGGCTTTGGTGATCCTTTCCTTCCCACAGACTTCCACTCATAAATCAAAAGCCAAAGCTTATAAACGTCTCACCCTCGACCCCTACAACATCTCCGAGAAAAGAGTCTTTTGAAAGTGTATGTGGTACGTTCAGAAACCAGGGCTGAGGCCTTGAAATTCTCTGCTAACTTAGGCCTTCACAGTGAGTTTGTAATGCGTAACTGGGAAAAAAAACTCATTTCGTTTCAGTCCAGTTACACCACAATTTAAAGCTGAGCTGTGCGGACGAAACAGCTGGAGGGAACTGAAGATCCAGGGAAAGGGAGAGCGTCCGTTTCAGCTTCATGAACACGCGTACAAGAGCTGCAAGGGGCGTCTCCTCCCCGTGGCTCAAAGCGCATCACTCGTTCAGTCAGAAGGCAGCTCCTGGGGTCCCATCCTGGAGGCCAGGGGCCTTTTGTCATGTCTCACTTTTAAAACCTTTTGTTCTCATAAATTATATATTTACATATGTAACTTTGTAAATTATGTACCATTTTTGAAGTCATTAAATTTTCATCTAAAATTCCACCATAATGAAAAGAATAATCAGGATGTCTCTAGCAGCATGGAGTCAGCTGCAGGTGACCTTCTGAAGTGAGGAGCTGTGGGAAGGGTAGGCTGGGTGGCCACGGGGTGTAACACAGGTGGGGGTCAGTGCCCCATTGATTTTAAAGCGTATTCATATTTTGTTTCAGTCAGTATTTGCCATCTTTAATCAAGAGGGACTGAAAGAAAAATTAACACAAAATTCACGAGAATCACTAAATATTAAATACAGGAATCTCTTTACACTTTCAAATGACATTTTGTGTCGGTTTGTGGCATTTACATGTCTGACTTTCTTCAGGCATAAAACTACACGGAAACATCTTGGAACACCCTGTGCAGTGGACTGAGTGGCAGTCCCCACAGGGGATGTCCACGGCCTGCTGTCTGGAGCCCAGGAATGTCACCTGATAAGGCCGAAGTGAATTTCATCTATATGGTAACAAGTGCAATCAGGTCAAGGACCTTGAAAGGAGCCTCATCCTGGATTATCTGGGTGGGGCCTAAACACAACCACAGATGTTCTTATCAAAGACAGGCAGGAGAAGTTTCCAGACAGAAAGGCACTGGAGAAAGCGGGATGAATGCGGAGCAGCGGTCCAGGTGACGCAGCCACCAGCCCCAGAAGCCCAGCGACTGCCACTCTGGGGAACGCCCCGATAGCACCTGGCCATTGTGTTTCTGGCCTCCAGAGCTGGGAAATAACACATTCCTCTTGTTCTAAGCCTCCTGGCCATGGTACTCATGAAAGCCATCCAGCCTGTGATGGGCTGTGACAGAGCTCTTCCTTCCCACCAGCTGAGCTGCTCCTTTACTGCAGCATGCTTGGCTTTGGGGAGAAAACCATGTCCTAAGTCTTTCCAAGCCAGTCCCCACCTGCCTGAGACACCACGGCCTCTGCACAGCCTGGAGCTGAGCGTGGAGCTGGCTGCCTCTCCCGCTGCTCACGGCGTCAGGTGTTGTGACACACGCAGTTGTGAATACGGGCCGAGATGCCTGCCATTCCCAGGCATCCAGCATTGGGCAGCACCAAGATGTGGCTGCATCCAGTAAGGACCCCCAGAAAGGGGACCAACAGGGATGCCTTCAACCTGGTGGTCGTGACCTTTAGACAGGAGGCCTGAGAAATGCTCCCTTCAAATTCACCATGCTTCCGAATTCGCTGTGCTCCCCCCCGGACGCAGCATCCCTGGCACCTGGAGGAGGACTGACCCCTTGGCCCCGGGTGCCTGCGACCCTGTGCCCTCACCTTGATGCAGTGGTAAGTGGCATTGGTGGCGCAGACCAGGTTGAGGTTGGGCCAGCCGTCAAGGTCCGAGTCCTCCCCACAGATGAGCCCATCGCCCGCGTAGCCCGTCCGGCACTCGCACTTGTACATGGGGTCGCTGAAGTGGCCCAGGTAGATGCACTCTGCATGCTTGTGGCAGTTGTGTGTCTTGTCCTTGCACGGGTTTTCGGGCTCACACACCTGCGGGAGAAGGGCTGTGTGGTTAGCAACAGGCAGGACGGTGGCTCCGGAGGCGTCAGGGGGGCGTCGGGCACGAGGGCCCCAGGAGGCCCCATCCCAAGCAGATGAGAGTCCTGAACCGGGAGGGGCTTTCTGGACGTGCACTTGAGGTGCCGGTCGTTCCCAAGGCTCTGAGAGCAACTCGGCCATCGTCTCTGAGCCTCCACTGCGGCTCACCAAGGATGCCGCTGACAGCTGAGAGGCGGTGGGCTGACACTCACAGGCGCCTGGGTGAGCGCTCAGCCCTGCAACCTTGCGAGAGAAGCCGCTGAGCCTGCAGGTGCTCTGCTTCCCGGCCAGCCCCTCCCACATGCCTCCCGGCCACGTCACCCCTTCCTCTTCTTTCTCCTGCTTCTTTTCTGGACTCATCTGGTTTTTCCAAAGACTTTCACAACACAAAAGGAAGGCGGGCTTTGCGTACTTGCTTTTCCGTCTTGGCAGCCTCCAGGCCGACCCCAGTGGGCTGGGTCCCTCTGTAGCGGGGCGGACATGGCAGGCAGTGGAAGCCGGGCTGAGTGTTGACACAGCGGGGCACCTTACTGGTGGAGAAGCAGACGTCGGGCACCAGGGCACACTGTGGGACAAGCGGATGTGAGAGGCCACTCCCAACCTCCATGGCACCCACAGCCCGGGGCGGGGTCACCCACCTCATCCAGGTCCTCACAGTGGGTGCCATTGCCCAAGAAGCCCATGGGGCAGGAGCCGCAGGACCAGGACCCATCCGGGAAGCTGCTGCACTGGGCTCCCGGGAAGCAGGGGTTGGATAAACACCCATCTGGGTGGAAGAAGGCGAAGCAGAGTTAACCACACAGCCTGCTCAGCACAAAAGGAAGCCAGCCCTGTGTGCCACCAAACACTCTGGGATGTCCTTGTCATAAAACTGTGTAGTCAGGAGTGCTCCGGTGTGATACTGCACCATCATCAAGAGGCGTCATCTCCAAGAATACATTGCTCAGGAGGACGAAGTGCAAAGAGTGACAGGAGCACATGTACATTATGACTACACATCACGTGCCACACAACAAAACTACACCTTCCACAACACACAACTCCACACCACATGCCACACTGCACAACTACCTTCCACAACACACACCTACATACCACGTGCCACGCCGCACAAACTACCACCTTCCACAACATACAACTCCATGCCACGTGCCACACTGCATGACTACCACCTTCCACAACACATAACTCCACACCACGTGCCACACTGCACGACTATCACCTTCCACAACTCCACGCCACGTGCCACACTGCACAACTACCACCTTCCACAACACACAACTCCAGGCCACGTGCCACACCGCATGACTACCACTTTCCACAACTCCACACCACATGCCACACTGCACAACTACCACCTTCCACAACACACAACTACATGCCACGTGCCACACTGCACAGCTACCACCTTCCACAACACACAACTACATGCCACGTGCCACGCTGCACAACTACCACCTTTCACGACACACACCTACACGCCACGTGCCACACCACACAACTACCACCTTCCACAACACAAATACACGCCACGTGCCATGCTGCACAACTATCACCTTCCACACACAACTTCATGCCACATGCCACACCTTACAGCATGTGCCACATTCCAGACCACACAGCTACACACATGCCACACCACACAACTACCACCTTCCACAACACACAACTCCACGCCACATGCCATGCCGCACAACTACCACCTTCCACAACACAAAACTCCACGCCGTGTGCCATGCCACACAATGACCTTCCACAACACACACCTACACACCATGTGCCACACTGCACAACTACCACCTTCCACAACACACAACTACATGCCACGTGCCACACTGCACAACTACTGCCTTCTAAAACACACAACTACATGCCGTGTGCAACACCGCACAACTACCTACACAACTACCTACACGCCACATGCCACACCACACAACTACAACCTTCCAGAACACAGAACTACACGCCACGTGCCACACTACACAACTACCTATGTGTTATGTTCCAGACCACAAAACTATCCATGCACCACCTTCCACAACACACAACTACACCTTCCACTCTGCACAACTACCTACATGCCACATTGCACAACTACCTACGCACCACAATCCAGACTATACAACTACTCACTCCCACCTCCCACAACAGACAACTACACACCAGGTGCCACAGCACACAACTACCTATGTGCCATGTTCCAGATAACACAACTACTCACATGCCACCTTCCACACCACACATCTACCTATGTGCCATGTTCCAGATCATGTAATTACCTACACACCACCTTCTACAATACACAACTGCCTATGTACCATGTTCCACAACACACAATTACACCCCAGGTTCCACACCACACTACCTATGCATCACATTCCAGCCCACACAACTACCCATACACCACCTTCCACAAAACACAACTACACGCCAGGTGCCACACTGTGCAACTACCTACTTGCCATGTTCCAGACCACACAACTACCTGTGTTCCACCTTCCACAACACAAAACTAGCATGTGTCCCCTTGCAGACCACACAACTGCCCACACACCATGTTCAAGACCAAAACACATAACTACACTCCAGCTGACACACCGCACAACTACCTATGCACCACATTCCAGACCACACAACATGTGCCACATTCCAGACCTCACAGCTGCCCATGCATCATATTCCACACCACACAATTGCCCACCTGCCACCTTCCACACCACACAACTACCTACACACCATGTTTCACAACACACTACCCACATGCCAGGTTTCACAGTACACATACCCACATGCCATGTTCCCACCACACCATGTTCCAGACCACATATCTGCCCACGTGCCATGTTTCACACTGCACAGCTTCCCACATGCCATGCTCCAGTCCTCACAACTATTTACATGCCGTTGACACCACACAACTACCCACGTGCCACTTTCCACACTAAAAACCACTTATGTGCCACGCCAGACCATACAACTACCCATGTGCCACATTTCAGATTGCACAGATAACCACATGCCACATTCCACACCACACAACTACCCACACACCACATTCCACACCACACAACTTCCCACACTCCACATTCCACAGCACACAACTAGCCACATTCCACAGGCCACACCACAAGGCATCTTTTTTGTTTTTACATGAGAAATACAGCAGGACTGAAACAGATGCGAAAAGCAGTTATCTTTGCATGTGAAACTAAAATGGATTTTTCTTGTCTGTGTTTTTCATGTGGTTTCCCAGCACCTGTGCACTTTTCATGAGAATGAAGCCCGAGGTTCAGCACATGCTGCGCCCCTCACTCACCCACGGGGCAGCTCCTCTTGTTGCACATCTGGCGTTCCTGCACATCCCCCACGCAGGCCTTCCCTCCGTGCTGAGGCTCCGGGCTATTGCAGACCCGCGTGCGCTCCCGGATCCCTCCAGCACAGGTGACGGTGCAGGCTGACCACGGGGACCAGGGGCTCCAGCGGCCGTCGACTGTGGGGAGAGCCAAGCAGGGGTAGCTCAGAGCAAGGCCTGGGGCAGAGAACGCCAGCTGGCTGAGCGAAGGAAGAGCAGGTGGGGCCTGGTGTTCCCTGCGCAGCCCCACAGACTGGTTTCTCCCCAGGATGGCTGACTAAGGTTCAGAGAGTCATCGCACCACTAAGCCTGTTACAGTTTTGGTGGATTTGGGGACTGCTGCAGATGACAGCACTTCCAGCAGCTTTGCTGTGATCTCTTGGTCTCTAGAAGAAAAATCATAAAACATCTTCTTTTTAATAAAACAATTTTTTTAATACAAAGGTCTCACTATGTTGTCCAGGCTGGTCTCAAACTCCTGGCCTCAATCAATCTTCCTGCCTCAGCCTCCCACAGCCTTGGGATCACAGGCACGGTGAGGCACTATGCCCAGCCCCCATCACCTTTTATCCTGAGAAGCTCAGAACTCCTCACCAAGGTGTCCCTCAGTCATGGAGGGTGGCCTCCACTCAGAAGCCTGCTGTGACACCGAACGTCACCACAAGCAGTTTCCAAGAGGCGTGGGCAGAGCTCAAAGCAACCGCTGCACACGCTCTTCCTCCTGGCACGTTCATGCATGTCCTGAGCCAGGTCTCCCTGGGGAAGCCCTGACGCCTTGGGCCAAGTGCTCTGTAACTCCGACCCTGGGGTGCCCAGACTCAGGGAAAGGTCACTCCAGGGACACGGTTCTGTGCATCCGCGGTGTCCCCTGTCCACAGTCACTCCCCGTCCCCACTCACTCGCGTCCACTCACCCCATCCACACTCACTCCCCAACCACACACACTCACACCCACACTCACGCTCACACTCACTCCCCATCCACTCACCCCACCCACACTCATCCCATCCAAACTCCTTCCTACCCACACTCACTCCCACCCACAATCCCTCCCACCCACAAACACTCACACCCACACTCACCCCATCCACACTCACTCCTACCCACAATCACTCACACCCACACTCACTCCCATCCACACTCACTCACTGACACCCACTCACTCTCACTCACATTCACTCCTATCCACACTCCGACCCACACTCATTCCCACCCACAATCACTCCCATCCCCACTCACCCCCACCCACACTCCCACCCAGACTTCCACTCACTCCCCATCCAAACTCACTCACACCAACACTTACTCCCATCCAGACTCACTCCTATCCACATTCACTTGCACCCACTCACTCCCACTCCAACTCACTCCCACTCCTATTTACTCCCACACCCACTCACTCCCGTCCACACTCACTCCCACCCACTTCCGTACACACTCCCACCCACACTCCCATCCAGACTCACTACCGTCCACACACTTGCACCCACTCACTCCCATTCACACTCCCTCCCACCCACACTCACTCCCACTCCCACTCACTCCCACTCACCCTCGCACCCATACTCCCATCCACACTCACTCCTGCACTCACTCCAGTACACACTCCCATTCACACACACCCCCTCTCACTCCCATCCACACTCATTCCCACCCACACTCACTCCCATCCACTCACTCCCAACCACACTCGCTCCCACCTACACTCACTCTCACCCAAACTCACTCCCACATACACTCACTCTCACCCACACTCACTCCCATCCACACTCACTCCCACTCACACTCAGTCCTGTCCACACACACACTCCAACTCACACTCCCATCCACACTCACTCCAACCCACACTCACTCCCATCCACTCACTCCCAACCACACTCGCTCCCACCCACACTCACTCCCATCCACACTCACTCTCACCCACACTCAGTCCTGTCCACACACACACTCCAACTCACACTCCCATCCACACTCACTCCAACCCACACTCACTCCCATCCACACTCACTCCAGCCCAACTCACTCCCATCCACACTCACTCCCACCCACACTCTCATCCACACTCCCACCCACTCACTCCTTTCCACACTCACTCCCATTCATACATTCACACTCATAGTCCCATCCACACTCACTCCCATCCACACTGACTCCCATCCACACTCCCACCCACACTCAGTCCCACCCAAACTCCCATCCACACTCACTCACATCCACACACACCCCACACACACACACTCCCACCCAAACTCACCACACCCACACTCACTCCCACCCACACTCACTTCCCCCACACTCATTCCACCCACACTCACTCCCATCCACACTCACTCCCACCCATTCATTCCACCCACACTCACCCCACTCACACCCCATCCACACTCCACCCACACTCACCCCACCCACACTCACCCCACCCACACTCACTCCCCCCACACTCACTCCCAACCACACTCACTACCCCCCACACTCCCCCCACATTCATTCCACCCACACTCACTCCACCCACACTCACTCCCATCCACACTCACTCCCCCCACACTCACCCTAGTCTACTCACACTCCCACCCACACTCACCCCA